GGCGCTTTTTAGGGCCCGGCCCTTGTTCGGTGGTCAATGAGGCCTGTCCAAAGCTAAAAATACGCCCGAATCTCCAGCGATTTTGTAATTTGGCGGTCTGGCGATCGATAAGATTCGGTCAAAGGTCGCTGACAGTGTTACGGTAGGTTAACTGACTTCCCTTCACACTCAATAGTCTTTTATGAAAACCCTGAAGGCCACAGCAAGTTATTTTTATTGATGACATCAAGGCGCGCATTGATTTTCGCCTGAATTGGGGGATTTTTTTCGCCCCATGGCATTCGATTTGGAGTCTGCGGAGGATGTCATTCAGAAAATTTACTTGCTCTGGCCTTACGCTTTAACACACAATTTTCTGAATGTGTTTCTTCTGTTGTTTTATGATTTGTCAATTTTTACATTCTGTATGTATTTTGGTACATGTATAATGTATCTTTTTGAGTTATTCTTTGTTGCATTATTGTGATTATTGTACTAATATCTACGACTTTATTTTACTTTCATTATTGTAAATCTATTATTATAATTCATTTAAAATGATGTCAGATAATTGCTTTCTTCGTTTACTGTAGCTGGATCCGTGTATTATATATTTTTTCTTTTTTTCTTTATTATACATATATTATATATATATATGTTATGTGTTATTGTGTATGTATGTGAAATGCAATAAAAAAAGAGAAAAAAAGACACCATGTTATTTCTTCTATCGCTTTCATTATATGATTCCCTAGGCACTAGTCATTCGGCGAGTGGAAATTTAATATCAAATAGGCAAATGTAATCATACCATTCATTGAAACTAGGACACGCGCTATGAACAATATCTCTGTATCTTATGATAACAGTTAAACTTTACTGACGGAGTCGGTCGAAAATTTGGGGTAAGTCCCAATTTACTTGGTGTTGGTCACGTAAAGCCAACACAGATGAACTTTCATGCTAATCTCTATATCTTGTCATTGTGTAATAATCCAGAAGAGATTAATAGTAATAGTATATAATAAATAATCTTCTTATAAGATGCTGAATAACTAGTAACTTTATGTATTTAGACGCAATGGAACGATATGTTGTGGATAGACAATTTCTTTTTTTTTTTGCTTTTGAAACTCGCCAATTTTGGGCAATGCTTTGGAATGGCATGCATGTAGATAGTTACCCTGGATGCCAAACTCGTTTCGGGCCGCTAGCAATTTCCTTCGGCAGCCAAGAGCCCCTTTGCCTGCGGGCCTAAATTACCACTACGGGGAGACTACCGGGGGGGTGGGGGTGGCCGGACAAACCCCTCGGGCTCAACTCCCCCGTAGCGCTAATTTAGATAGGCGGGCGTAGGGCTCTTGGCTGCCGAAGGAAAACGGCTAACGGCTCGATACTAGTTTGGCATCCAGGGTAGTAGATAGTGGAGCACAAGTGCTTCCCATATGTGATGTAAGTATGCTTTAGTCTTTTCCGAACTGTCCAAACTGGGTACTGTTCTTAAATTGAATTGCTCTCGTGCTCAATTAGTTGGGAACGTTACAACCTTGTAAACAATTATTCATCATGATAATATTACATTATAACAAGATAGGCACCGATAATTCATTTGGAGTCCATTCATTTTCGAACAGTCTGGTCACTAGCTACGGTACAAGTCATAGAACAACAGATATGGGAACTTTTTTTTTGGGGGGGGGATCTTTATTTATCCACATTAACTCCCTGAAACCAGATTTATCTTATCACAATTTGTTTCCATCCGGCTCTAAATCTACGATCTTTCAATTCGGCATATGTAATCATATAAATCCAAAATCCAAGAATAGAGGTTTGGTAACGTATTTCAAATGTATTCTATAGGGGCTCCAGTGCTTTATACAAAAATGCGTCCCCACACGTTCAGTATACATGTATTACTGTTGGAATCTGCACGGCATTGGGTGAGAGTTATGCATCGAGTAGAATTGTATGCGCGGCAACATGCCGGTAAAATCAGCACGCATTACCGAAAAGCCCCTGTTGCTGAAATACGACATAGTTTTGGCCATCGTCATAGTTTGCTGAAATACGACACAAATTAGACTACTTTGTAGGTTCCTGAAATACTGTTGAAAGAAGATGTATACTTAGAACGCATTTATGTTGCTGAACGTGAAATAGGTCACCGACCTACGGCGCATTCGAATTTGGGCCGAGAACTACACTTTAGCTTAGCAGCCGACGTGGCCGAACTCAAGTCGAATTTATTTTATTGCAACATTTCAAGACCAAACGTGGCGACGGCACACTCAAGTTATATCAACTTATTTTATGCCACCACCAATACAGAGTACAAATACAGGACCCATTTTCACACTAATAGGTTAAGTGAGGAAAGTCGCATAAAATGCCTTTCCCAAGGGCACAAGAGCATGCCAGGACTCGAACCTGGGACCTCTTGGTTCCGAGTCGAGCACTCTGCCGCTACGCCACACGACTTTGCCCCGGCCCTAACCACGGTTGCGGGGCCGCGTTTGGCAAATGATCGGGAGGCCAAATTCGTGAAATTGTGACAGGGGCTTTGCGTACGTATATACGGGCGTGTTCGCGAATATAAGGAGGGTCGATATATGTCCATATACATTGGTTGTGTCGGAAATGAGCGGTATGCAACGCACGGGGTTCTGCAACTGCAATTACCATGATGGTATCACGTTCTATAGTGACTGTTAACACATTGTAACTGTGGCACTGTACTAATCATGGATTCAACGGTGTCTCGTAGTTGGCAATTAGCTTCGACGGTGACAGTAGATGAACAATACATGTAGTATACAGATTGGTAGTATACAGACTTTCAGTACTTAGCGTTAGAATGAAGCAGTATTTACTATGTTTTATATCCTCCAGACCAGATATGCTCACATGTACATTCAACCCATCTGGGCAGGAATATGCAATAAAGACATGGTGGTCTATCTGGCACGTCCACTAAAATAGCTGTGTGAAAATGTGGCAAGCACCCACACAAACATACAGACACACAAACACATCATGCACACACGCGCATCAAACACACACACACACACATCATACAAACACAAACACACACACACACACACATCATACACACGCATCACATACACACACGCGCACACACAGAGGCACAAAAGGCACGTGCACACAATCACACGTGTAGAGTATGTGTATTGTTGTGTATATATAAATAGCATATGCTACTGGCCTTGAGTAAAGTGTTATCTTTTAAATAGAAAAAGAAAGATCATGCACCAACTGATAAGAGACGACAGCTGGGCTTGGTTGTTTGTTGTAAGTTGACCATGTCTGGATTTGAGATCGATTGTCAACGTTACACAAAGCAACAAAACAGACAGTAACGACCGACCCAATTATAAAAGATGAAAAAAAAACGAAAGAGCGCGCGTGGTCAATGTCTACAGGTTTCCACCAAACTAGACTAGACAATACGAGAGAGAGAAAGAGAGATGGAGAGGGAGAAACAAAGAGAAAGAGACAGAAAGAGACAGAAAGAGAGAGAGGAAAACAGACAGAAAGACAGAGAGGGAGAGGAAAAGAAAGAGAGCGATAGAGAGACAGACAGAGAGAGAGAGAGAGAGAGAGAGAGAGAATTTGAAAATATAATGCCGGCTCCACCACAAAAACAAAAACGAAACAAAATTAAAAGTGACGTTGGATCGATCCATAGGCTCTAAACAATATCTGAATTATAATAACAGCCATAAACTGAGGATGTTGAAGGTTTGTCATTATATTTGAAAACTCTAATTCATAACACCGTTTGTGACAGCGCCTTACTATATTATACTGATCAGTTCTGGGAATGGACAACAACCGACAGAAAATCCCCCCTGTATGACCATACCTACTTGGACACGCAGCAAAATGTCTAGTTTATGAAAGCACAACTAGAAGGCAAGCTGACATATTGAACGGTACACATTTACACTATTCCGTAAAGGGATTTAAGTAATTTTTAAGGAGCTTATAGACCTGGGGCATGCTCATCAGCTTTAAGTGCACACGCGTGGGGCATGGATGTACATTTAATATCATTACTCTTAGTGCTAACAGGTTATACGGCAGTTTCGGTATAATCCTCTTAAAGACGATATTGTAACCTAGATAAGATAGAAGACGAGTGTACTTTTATCATGGGCTGTATGTACCTTATATAACAACGAGAGAAATATTCTCTTCAATTGTATACAAGATAAGTTGCCTAGTTTAAGATATTTAGATAGCAAACTAGGAAAAAATCATATTCCTCGGGCAACTAGATAAACCATGTATTGTAAGCTTTATCTGTTCTTACACCTACAATTGTCTACAGCGAGAATTGTAGAAGCTGAACCTGTATTATTATAATTGTATAGATGTAGTAAAATATCAGACTTGTGTCACTGTTTGTACATAGACCTTTGTCACCAAGATCTGTATGTAGCTCGTAAGGGCAGAATTGTACAAAAAATGACTTCAATTCAATTAATCATTCTCAAGCGACGAGAAGCGACATTTCATACAAACTCAATCAGCCAAATCAAGCTGCGGAATTCATGGAAAAACATCTACAGAACTTACCTAAGGATCTCCATGTTCATAATACATTACAGTTAAACCTCTAGTATTGCCCGATTCCTATATTCTTACGTCAGATGACTTTAATTTACTCATACATGTATTTAGCTTTGTTTGATCTTAGTTGTAGTAGACCATAAGAAAATCCCTGTACTTTTGTCAGTAAATTCAGTGGAGAAAATGAATCATCATAACATCAGGAAGCAGACAAAAAAAGAAACTAAAACTTACTACATGTAGCATGTTGAGCTAGTACGAATAAAATAGTTGAAGAACATCTTGCTTACCTGTATCATATACGGGACGATAGTGCACATGGTAAAGCCGAATAATTGTCTCAAGAATCATCATAACATCAGGAAGCAGACAAAAAAAACCCGAAAACTTACTACGTGTAGCACGTTGAAGAACATGTTGCTTACCTGTATCATATACGGGACGATGGTGCACATGGTAGAGCCAAAGATCCAGCCGTAGGTCAGGTAGTTTATGGTGGTGAAGGGGATACAGCACACCAGGAAGGCCAGGTCCGTGACGGCCAGGTTGACGATGTAATAGTTGGTGACGGTTCTCATCTCGCTGAAGCGGGCCACGATGTAGATCACCAGCGAGTTGCCGACGCCGCCGATCAGCAGGATGACTCCGCAGACGGACGGCATGACATACGCCACGGCGCCGAGCGAACCGCCGCTCACGTTCCCCACTGCCCCGCTGGCGTTGTTGCTGAACTCGTCGGTGAAGTTGTCCATCCTTCGTCAGCGAGTAGACGAGACTGACTAGACTACGCCGCTCCACACCTACTCTTACCCTGTCACACGCGTGATCGTCTCCTACTGGCTCTACGAAGTAGGCCACTTGAATATTAAATCAGCACGTGTCCTAGAAATAGAACAGCGGGACGATTTCAGATACAGGCAACAGGTTTCCACATCATCATTCCACATTCTGCCTTTTGTGTGGTCTGTCACTATAAACGTGGCCCTTTCGTGTTAATACTGAAGGAAGTATCAAGCTTCCGAAAGATATCGAGTATTCGAAAGTGTCAACAGTGTTGGTTTTTGATCGTGTGCATGTTACATACAGCAAGGACATTATACAAATACATATATCTGTGTAGAATGTCCTTGCATACAGCGATCGCCATGTAGTTACCACTCCCCTTTACTCTGGAACCTTTTTAAAGGCCATAGGATAGCTCGCATTTCTAATGGCCAACCTCTGACGAAAAAGCCTCAGGCTAAAGTATGTACGCAGGTGCGCCGTTTGCACGCGAGTGGTACATGATACTGTTTCTAACTGATGAAGGACGTTAGGATATACGTAATCTGCACGCAGAATTTTGGTGGCTGCAAAGACAGCATCAAATTCTCCAGACAGTATTCATTTCATTTCCAGAGGCGCTACGCTGGGAGCATGCGGTCTTGAGTGAGTGGGTGAGTTGGAGAGTAAGTGGGTAAGTGAGTGGGTGAGTGAGTTAGTGAGTGAATGAGTATGTGAGTGAGTGAGTGAGTGAGTGAGTGAGTGAGTGAGTGAGTGAGTGAGTGAGTGAGTGAGTGAGCAAAAGAGTGAGTGAGCAAAAGAGTGAGTGGGTAGGTGAGTGAGTTAGTGAGTACGTGAGTGAGTGAGTGGATGAGTGAGTTAGTGAGTGAGTGATTGATTGATTGAGAGAAAGTGTGAGTGAGTGAGTGAATGAATGAGGGTGAGTGAGTGAGCGAAAGAGTGAATGAGTGTGAGTGAGTGAGTGAGTGAGTGAGTGAGTGAGTGAGTGAGTGAGTGAGTGAGTGACTGAGTGACTGAGTGACTGAGTGACTGAGTTAATGAGTGAGTATCCATTTGCCCGTTACCATTCACCACCGAAGGCCAGAGTATAGGCTGGCATTAAAAAAGTTACCAGTACAAAAAAGCGAGTCTGATAAAAACATACGGAGTTCGATACAATTCCTTCCCTTTGGACCTCCATAGTTATCACACATGAATATACAACGTAACTACCATGGGAATATGATAATTATACACTGGTTAACTTTCAAAAACAGAGAACGAATTCCTAGATGGTATTTTAGATCAATACATATTCTAATTCTTATTTGTTAAGTCGACTTCGCAGTATGTTATTCAACTCGTTAAATATCTCCTACGCTTAATTTTGCTTTATAGTTCACTCCGTATGCACCAAATTCAGCCAAATTAATATAGTTGTGTTTAGACTCCCGCGGTAGATATATATAATAAAGACAAAGAGTAATAATAATAATAATAATGAAATATGAACTTAGCACCGATGAAATGGCCTTTGAACTGCTGAATATTAATTATCACGTAGTAAAGTGATGGCACTGAGAGTTAGTATAATTATTGTCATTTTACAAAGATGCATTAAAAAAATCCGGACCCCCGTTGTCTTACTAAGATCAATGCACTGTGACATAAACTTACCCGTTACATAAGTCATTACCTTAGTGTTTTTATAAATATTATTCCATACATGTCTAGACCTTTACCATGAGACAATGTGAAAGATTGGGCACATAGGGTCCTATACGAACACGGCATATATAAAATTTAATTAAGAGTTAAATACCTTAGGTATTACATAGAAGAGATACACATTGAAAGTAACAAAGAAAAAATGCTCTGTTCATATCCAGTGATTAGAAACGAATTCGGTGGTGGAAGTTATGAATTTTTTTAGTAACTAATATGATTTGTGAATCAATAGTAGGCGCTATTTGACAAGGGTTCTAGCTATTAACAACAATATGATTTAAATAATGAAAAAATGCTCTGTTTTTACCTAGTGGTATAGTGGTTAGAAATGAGAGTCGGGGGTGGAAGTTATGAATTTTTGAGTAACAAGTATGATTTGTGAATCAATAGTAGAGCACCAAGAGATTTAGCTATCTGACAAGGGTTCTAACTATTAACAACAATATGTTTATTCATTTTTTCAGTTTATTTTATTTATTTAACCAGAAAAAACACTCAGATACATAACAACCTATTTTCAGGCAATACCGGGTATACAAAGCACGAATAACAGACTTTACAATATTACGAAATCACATACGATCCAGAATGACATGATAACAAAAAAGCCACACCTCTCTATATATGATCAAGACATCGCAATTCCTGAATAAATTTTACCAGTCCCAGAGTCTTATGTTGCTTCGGTGACAGGCTATTCCACAGTTGGGGGCCGTAGAATTGTAAGCTCCCTTTATGTAGAATAATAGTGTTTGCTTATAGTGATACAGGTGCAGTGGGTTGGAATAAACTCCCACACGTTGTTAGAACTGCATCATCTATACAGTCCTTCAAAACACTGTGTTCAAAGTTGCGTAGCGTCTGACTTTCTACCCTTACGACCTGGCATGGCCTTGACTACGATTATGGATTACGATTGTGATTTTGATATTTTATTCCGTCTTGTCTTGTGTATATGCACCCAGGGCCACTCTGTAAAGCAGTGCAAAGCCACTGAGTACTGCTATCCTGGTTAAAGAACACCTAATATGAAATAAACTAGAAAGGTAACACTTGCAAAACAAATGCATAACGTTTACCTCCGAATATGGTCAACTCTGTTAATTCTTACTCAAACACATCCATATATATGGTCAGACAGGAGTCTAAATCTCTAATGCTATAAAATTGCAACATGATGTAACCCGACACTATTTACCATGGTGACAAACGTCTAGTTCAGGTCATTGACCTTATTTGTTTGAAGAAGAAGAAGAGGAAACAGAGCAAAACAACATGTTTTCCTCCGGTAAACAGAATAAACAAATAAGCATAGACATTCCGCAATGTAAGAAGTAGTAGGAAAACGAACAAGAAACAGGTCTTGCTGAAGAGAGTTTGTATGTTATGTAAAATTAAGAAACACTCAGCAACATGTAACCTTGTGGAGCCACGTTTGACGTGGGTAGGCAAAACGTGGTTCAGAACTAATTGTTTTCCCAGGAAATACTGGTTGGCAAGAAAAATGTCCAGACTATACATGATGTACAAAATGACTAGTAAACTGGTGGACGTACCAACTACTAAGTATCTAATACCAGGTCAGAAAAGAACAAGAAGTAATCATGGCTTCAAGTATCGGAGTTATCAACCAAGGATTGCTTCCTTCATCTTTCCTAGAACTCATTGATTTTTTCCTGGAACTATTCATTCATTCTTTCCTAGAACTCATTCATTCTTTCCTAGAACTATTCATTCATTTTTTCCCAGAAAGAATTCATACTTTCCTAGAACTATTAATTCTTTCCTAGAACTATCGCTGAGTGGAACTTGCTGTCAACAATGTTTAAAGTTAGGTGTTCAAAGGCTAGGTGTAACAAGTCTTTCGTTGTAATGTAGCCGGCTGCCTCCGCACCTCGCCTTCGAAGCTGGTGTGTTACTATTCATTCTTTCCTAGAACAAAAAAAATCATTCTTTCCTAGAACTATCGCTGAGTGGAACTCGCTGTCAACAATGTTTAAAGTTAGGTGTTCAAAGGCTAGGTGTAACAAGTCTTTCGTTGTAATGTAGCCGGCTGCCTCCGCACCTCGCCTTCGAAGCTGGTGTGTTACGCCGAAGTGCAGTTATACCGGCTATACAGATACGGATACAGATATCACAGTCGATTTTGATAGCGAGAGTATGATCGTGCATTTAATTTTCTAATTTCGTCCTACACTTGTGGGCACGACCACACAGCAATGCATGACAATGTATCCACCACAATACTTCCTGTACAATGTATTGTGAATGATAATCAAGTTTATTAAATATAAATCATCTCTCGACCTACATTGGATTCATGATTACTCCTCGCGCTAACAATGATGGCGTTTTCATACACCAAATTGTAACCTTGAGGCGGCTGTATTCACGACCTTTATACGACCTTTATACGACATTATTCCCAACTACTTCCCGGCCAAGGTCGGTGCTGGTGAGGCGTTTCAAACACAACCCCAAAACAAGCTACGTGAGGCGTCTCTTAATTTTTAGGTACCACCGATAAATAGCTAGATCCATACAAAACAAGCAACCGTTTTCCGTCAGCGACATCACATTTTTGACTCATAGATATCAGCGTACTATGGGATAGTGTTCATTCAACTTACTACATTAAAAGAATGTGAAAATTGACTTTAAAAATCCAGTTTTGCTGTTCTAATATTGCACTGGATACATTTAAAGACTAGCAGAGAACCTCACCTAATAACTCCCAACCTCAGGTAGCCTTGCTCACGACATTACCAACGATAATCCGGAGAAGGTCGGGAGGCGCTTGTCGGATGTGCGTGGCAGGGGTTTAAACAGCGTCGGTTACCACATCATAACACGAGTTTGTGTATCCGTTTCTAGGCACAACTACAACAATACCACATGGCAGGGTATGTACCTTCATTAACACCGCACTGTATTCTACTAGATTTGTTTCTATCTTAAAATATTCTATTCTATTTCATTTATATATATGATTTCCAATTCATAGAAAGGAAACTAGCTGAAGCTATCGAATCTATATACATACATTCATTTGATAAATCGCAATGTTTTTGCGGCTGTTTTATATATGTAGTGTGTATGTATGTAGCCAACACACAAAACAGTTTTCTATATGTCAACAATGCCATAGCTTTAACATATAGCCCATATTATAATCATGTTTTTGACAATACACGTTTTCTACAGTACATTTATGAACCTTTAAAAAACGCATTAGAATGTCGGCACTTTGATGTTGCTTAAT